TTTTTTCTTTTTGCTTATGTGGTGCTAAGAATCGAACCCAGGGCCTCAAGCGTGCAAGGCATGCGCTCTACTGCTGAGCCACCTTCCCAGCCCCATCTGTGAGACTCTTATCTCCAATAAACCACCAGGAAAAAAAAATGGAGTGGCACTGTGGCTCAAGTGGTAGAGCGCTTGCCTTGAGCTGAAGAGCTGAGGGACAGCACCCAAACCCAGAGTTCAAGCCCCACGACCGACAAAAAAAAAAGAAGCAAGAGAGTGAATTACCAGGAAGCTCCACGGTTTCTTCTCCATGTGATTTTGAGCTGCTTCCCATAGCAGAGGGCTTGTAAAATGGGGGCAAAGGTACCCCAACTCTGCATGGTATATATACTTACAACCACTGGATGACAACCTTGTACATACTCAGATCCCTTCCAAAAAGTCTTCTAAGTCACAATTCCTCACTTCCCCAAAATCAGCCCATTTCATTGCCATAACCCCTTCCACACTCTCCAAATTCTAGAAAGCTGTGGTGATTTCCTTACCCGGGGTTTCTCTACCTTCTCCCCTCTCCTTCCCCCCTCTCCCATCTCTCCTGTCTCCTCTCTCACACCTTTTGGGTTGACACTTAGATTTGTCTGCCTGTCTGCCTTGATTCAAATCTTCGTTGGAGACACTAAGAACCTGGCTGGGATCTTCACTATCGAGATCACCCACCAATAACAGGATCTCATACATGATGTTCTTTCCAGGTATTAGTATTTTTACCCTTCACAAGCACTCTCCCAGGAGATAGATGTTGTTTGAGCACAGTGTCATTGCTAAGAGAAATCACCACTGAAAGTGAAATGACCTTCCGGGTCATGTAGCAGCTCTGTGAATCTGATCAGCTCTTACTCTCCTCCACCCCACAGTGATTCACCCAGTGAATGGAAACTATTTTCCTTAAAGCGAGTGGGAAGAGAGCTGTTGCTTCCTTGTTCTTTTTCCGGCTGCTGGCTGGCTGGCTGTGGCTTTCCTCTGTCCTGTGACCCTAGTTCCAGGTCACGGAGGCCACTTTGAGTCACACAGTCTCCCTTCGTCCTGCTGCAAACTATTCAGGCTCAATTAGGAACCTACATGGCTGCCCTGGCCTCACTGAATCCAGGGGGAGGGGAGACCTTCAGTCCCAGCCTAGACGAGTGGAGGGGGCAGGGTCTCCGGTCAGATCCTTAGGGCAGGCTGGGAGACTGCTTCCCAGCTGCAGGATTCCCAGCTCCACCCTCAATGTCCCTCTGCCTGTGCACTTGGGACCCCAACTCTCTGCTTCCTAGCTGCACTGAGGACTTTCCCAGCTGTGAGCCCACGTGGACAAACTTCCCTTGCTTCCTCCCTTTGGCCTCTTCTGTAATGTCCAGGATCTAGCCCTGCCCCCAGCCCAGACTAGCCACACAGAACAGGCCTGATCTCAGCTTCTAGAATAGCTGAGACCAGCCATGAAGAAAAGACCTGAGTGTTTGAAGCCACGCTTGGGCTGCTGGAGTAGACAGAGGCAGTACGAAGGAGTGGGATCTGTGAAAGAAATTTACAAACGAAGAGTACACTAGATTGGAGGCCCTGATCTCAGCCTGAGCTGCAGCACCTCCTTCCTTTCTTTTTCTTTCTTCATTTCTTTCTCTCTCTCTCTCCCCTTCCTTCCTTTCTTCCTCCCTTTCTCCCTCCCTCCCTCCCTCCCTCCCTTCCTTCCTTCCTTCCTTCTTTCCTTCCTTCCTTCCTTCCTTCCTTTCTTCCTCTCTCCACCCCTCCCTTTCCCTCCCCTTCTCTTCTTTCTTTGGTGCAGGCTTGAATTTAGTGCTATTCACTGTCCCTTAGCTTTTTAAATCAAGGCTTGGCACTCTACCACTTGAGCCAGACCTCCATTTCTAGCTTTTTGCTGGTTAATTGGAAATAATCTCACAGACTTTCCTGTCCAAGCTGGCTTCAAACCATGATCCTCAGATCTCAACCTCTTGAGTAAGTAGGATTATAGATATGAGACACTGGGGCTCAACTCTAGTTCATTCTTACTGAACCCTTGCCAAGTGCTCACCACTAACTCCTTCATCTGCATAATCTCAATGTCACTGCAAGGCTTGAAAGGTGGATGTGGTGATATGAAGTTTACCGTGGGGGTTAGGGGTCTGTATAAACCACATGGGATTCTGCACGGTGACTGGAACTCAGTGGAATCTGCTTTTCCTGTCAACCCATGAGACAGGGGAAGAAAAGCTAAGTGGAACCTTGCAGAGGATGGAGCAAGCCAAAAGGGTAAGGCGATGGCGGCTCTCAGCCCTGGGGCAGAGACTTGCTTCTGTTCAGGGCTCCGGCTGGCTGGGGGTCAGGACAGGCTGGGGGAGGTGGCCGGGGTGAGGATCCATCCGGGAGGCAGGCGAGGCAAAGTGAGGCGGGGCGGGATGACTGAAGCTGGAGGCCTTCCAGAACAAAGCCGGGGTGGGAGGCGGCCTGTGGCTCCCCACCCCGCCTCCCCGAGCGCGGCAGAGCCGGACAGCCGCCAGCCCGGGAGGCCCGGGAGGCCCGGGAGGCCGAGGCCGCGGCGGTATGGCGGGGGCGGGGGCCGCCCTGCTGGCCCTGGTCCTGCCGCTGGGGAGCCTGGCGCTGGCGGCGGCCGGGGCTGTGGACGGTGAGTGTCGAGTCGCGGCGGGGCGCCCCACCCCGTGCTCAGAGGGGCGCTGGAGGAACCCCTCCAGAGCGGGGCGCCCCAGGCCAGCCTCTGCCCTCTGGATCCTGAGGGGGAGATGGGGAGGCCGCGACAGCGGTGCGGGGCAGGGGCTCCCTGCCGTCCCTGGCGCTGGCGGGGAGGGGGCTGCCCTCGGTCTAGGAGTCTGCAGTTAATTATCTGTCTTGAGGACAGGGGTTAAAGGAGGCCGTCGGTGGGGGCTGCGCTCAGCCTGTCTGGCCCTGCATGAGGGAGCAGTCAGGAAAGGATTTCCTGTAGGAATGGACAAAGCAAGGCTGGGGGGAGGGGGAGCCCCCCCCTCCCCCGCAGCACTTTCCTGAAGGGTCTCCCTGGCTGGTCCTATTTGCTTAAGCAGGAGAACTGGCCCGGGATTCCAGGCTGCAAAGGGTAGGGAGAGGCTTGGAGGGCAAAGCTTTTGGGTGGAGAGTTTTTAAGATGCCGAGACCACAGCTAGAGGACCCTCAGGTGAGGAGGAAGGAAGCTGGGCTAGGTGGACAGAATATCATTGGGAGTGACAGGACACCCTGTACAACGGACAGAGATGGGAACAGGCACAAGCGGTTTGGGTGCTGATGTTGGGTATGGGATAGCAGGGGAACAGGGCAGGCTGGAAAGCTGGCAGCCCTGGTGAGAGGCTGGGAATCTTCTGCTGTGTGACTTCAAACGGTATGCTGGGAGCCAGGCGCTGGCCAGGAAAGTCTGTGAGACTCTGATCTCCAATTAACCACCAGAAAACCAGGAGTGAAGCTATGGCTCAAAGTGGTAGAAAACTAACCTTGAGCAAAAACGCTCAGATAGAGCCCAGGCCTTAAGTTTGAACCCCATGACTGCCAAAAAAACGAAAACAAGAACAAAACAAAATAAAGGCCAGGCACTGGTATGCCTATAATCCTAGCTACTCAGGAGGCTGAGATCTGAGGATCTTGGTTCAAAGCCAGCTCAGGCAGGAAAATCCATGAGACTCTTATCTCCAATAAACCACTAGAAAACCGAAAGTAGCGCTGTGGCTCTAGTGGTAGAGTGCTAGCCTTGAGCTGAAGAGCTGAGGGACAGCGCCCAGGCCCAGAGTTCAAGCCCCACAACCGACAAAATAAATAAATAAATACCAACAACAAAGAAAGGCATGCTGGGATAGAGGAGCAGACAGAGGCAGGGAGATAGAGAGAGGAGTGGGTAAGGTGGGAACAACTGGGGAACCAGTGACTGATGGGGTTTGGCATGGGGTACAGACGATGGGTACTAAGCTCCAGGTTTCTGGCTTGGGTAATTGGATGGGTGGAATGAGCATTAACCATGTTCATCTTTGCAGGTTTGCAAAGGGATTGTGGGGGTTTGGACTAGATTCCACACAGGATTCTTGTGCCTTTCAGGTAGGGCTGTCCCCAAGGAGCTCCCAGGACCTGCTGGCATCCAGGAGTACCAGCAGCAGGTCCCCTCTCGTTTCTCTGGTCCTGCTGGGTCTCCTAAAGATCAGTGGCGGCTCCTGGAGGAGCGGCTGGGGCAGCTGGAGGCTGAGGTGACTCAGCTGACAGAGCAGGTACCATGGAGACAGGCGTGAATGGGGTAGGGTGGACTTTGCATAGTGGGAGGAAGAGATAGGGCTTGCCTGGGGCGGGGGCTTTGGGGGATTCTTAAGGGTTTTTTGTTTTTGTTTTTGTATGTGTGTCTATCTTGGAGCTTGAACTCAGGGCCTGCGTGCTGTCCCTGAGCTTTTGTGCTCAGGACTAGTGCTCTACCACTTGAGCCACAGCTCTACTTCTGGATTTTTGATGGTTAATTGGAGATAAGAGTTTCTTGGACTTTTGTTCCACACGGCTGGCTTTGAACTGAGATCCTTAGAGCTCAGCCTCTTGAGTAGCTAGGATTACAGGTGGGAGCCATTAACTTCTGGCCAAGAGTTTGGATGGGTGAAGAATTCTTTTTTTTTTTTTTTTTTGTCGGTTGTGGGGCTTGAACTCTGGGCCTGGGCGCTGTCCCTCAGCTCTTCAGCTCAAGGCAAGCCCTCTACCACTTGAGCTACAGCGCCACT